TAACTATATTTTACAAAAATAAAGATAGAGGCAAGACCTCACCTCAACCTATGGGTTGAAAATTTAAAAAAAAAAAATCAACATATTGATACACGTCATACTATATTCAATCGTTTTAATAGATTAGATCAAAGAATAAATATCAGACTAAATGTCTTAAATCGAAATATCGTAAATGGAATAAATAATAATCTAAATCAAAGACTTGGTACATTAGAAAATTATATTGCTAATAGATTTAGAGATACTAATAATAACATCAATAACATAAATCAAAATTTCAATAATAGATTTGATAAAATCAATACTGATATAAATAATTTAAATGAAAGAATCGGAAAACTAGATTCAAGAACAAATTTTGGAAATACTGTAATAGATAATAGATTAAAAAATATAGAAGAATCAAACGAAGATATAAGTAGAAATATTCTTAATATAGATAAAAGAATAATTGAAACTGATGGTAGTATAAGACGTATAAGAAATGATAATTTTTTTGAAAGATTAACAAATATGCAGGATCAATTAAACACACACATGACTACTCAAGATACTATATTAGGAAATATGCAAAATATAATAAGGCAAGATGATAGTAATTTTGAAATAATGTTTGAAAATTTTCAAAATAACATGCAAAATTTTATCAATGATCGAATTGAAATACAAGAAAGAGATATCATGCGAGGATTATTCGAAAGATTAAATCAACGAAGAAATCCAAAAAGAATAACTATAAATCATAGAAGAACACTAAGAATAGGAAGATCACCAAGATGATAAAGATTAATTGGATTACAAAGACAAACAGAAAATGAAAATGATTTTATAAATTCTGATATCATAAATAATTTTATGAATAATATTAGAAATACAGAAAGACAAGTAATAAGATATAGTGATAATAATTTAATAATCAGACCAAATTTACAAAGTAATATTATGCCTGGATTAAGAATACATTCTAGCGTAGATAATACTTATTTAGGAGAAGGTAGATTTGAATCTAGAAGTGGAAGTGGATCTTCATTAACATTTCAAACACCTATTATTCTAAGTAAAAGAAAAAGACGAAAAAATGACAATAGTGACAGTGATTCTGATGATCATGCTAATAAAATACGAAAAAATATAGAAACTATAGAAGAAAATAAATCTATCGAATTAAATTCTTTTTAAACTAATTATATTTCAGATGTAACATATACATCTGATGATTCTGATGATGAAGATGATTTATTCATGACAAATGAAGAAATCAAAAGAAAAAAAGAAGAAAAAGAAAGAAGAAAAGAAGAAAAAAATAAATTACTATTATTTTCACTAGAAGAATTTGCAGAAGAAAATGAAAGAAGAATACAAGAAAGAGAACAACTTCGAATAACAAATGTTCAACCAATTAATTCTTATGCAGTAATACAAGATGAAATTACTGTGACAATAGATACTCCAATCGATACAAATAATTTACAACCAGTACCTCAAATAACATCATTAACAACATCTAGACTAGGAAGTTCAATGAGTATATTAGGATCATTTAGTAGATCATCAACTCTTATGAATATAGATCCACAAGAAGAATCATCTACATCAACTAATATATTTGATAAAATATTTAAAATTTTTAAATCAAAATAAATCATGTATAAAATACTTTATTGATAATAAATAAAATTATTAAATAATATTAAATAAATAAATATAAAAAATTATTTATGATAATTTCGTCTTTTTAAATTATTCTTTTTTTTTCCATTATTAATTATAATATCTCAATTAATTTTCGGTTTAAAAAATCTTGTTAAAGCATCCACATCATCCACTTTAGTAAGATCTAATTCAGCGTCAAACATGACATTTTTTTGTTTCATTATCTCATCTAATCTTTTAATGAGAGAAGCATATTTAATATCTTCCGCATCTTCTTCTTCTTTATTTATTCCAATTATATCAATACCCACTTTAAAATTAGCTATAATCTAACGATAAATCTTATATTTTACCATATAACTAAATTGATCATTATTATTATTTTTATGAATAACATTAATACATTTTCCTTGAAATTCTTCTTTTTGAGAAATATAAATCAATAATCTAAACATAGCTTCAAAACTATCATTGGTATCATATTCTAATTGTTTAATCACTTTTCTATCTTTTCTCGCTACAACATATGATGTCTAATTTCCTTTATGGGGGACTTGTTGAAGAACAAAAAAAACATTAATTTTTTCATATTCGTTTCTCTTTTTTTCAAGTTTTTCATTAAACTCTTGAATCTTTAAAGCATCTTCAAGAATTTTATTGTGATCAACATAACCAATTAAGGTGAGTGAACTTTCATCATCAATATTTGAATAAATATCTCCTGTGTCTATAGCAAGATATTGATAACCTTTTTTATTATTACATTTAAAAGACATTATTATTCTTTTAATATTTTAAATTTTTGGATTCTGAAATATAATCTTTAAATAGAAAAATTAATTATTAATTAAAATTTAATATATTAATAATGTAACATTAAAATTAATTTTTAATTTTTAATTTAAAATGGATGATATTAATGACAAAACAACAAAAAAACGGTATGTATCTTAAAATAATATTTAAACAATAATCTAATTAATAATACTAATAATTACTTTATCAAACAGTATGTAATATTATAATCAAAATTTTCCTATTCGATAGTCTAATTCTTATTATTTAAAGGTAAAACTACTGCTATCACTGATAAAAAAACAAACAAAGAAAATGGAAAAGATATCACTCTATCTATTAAAAATTCTATAGATTTTTTGATAAGTGAAAAGGAAAAAAAAATCAATGAATTGGAAACAACAATCGAAGATTATAGATATAAAAATAAAAATCTAAACGAAGAAATTATCAAATTAACTAATGAAGTAAAAAAATTAAAAGAAAATACAGAAAATGATAATACTATTCTGGAACTACAAAATCAAATTAATAATCTAAAAAAAGAAAAAATGACTTCTGAAAATTTCTATAATCTAAAAAATAATGTAACAGAATATGTCATGAAAAGTTTAGTTGATTATATTTATAGTACTGTTTATAAACATATATCTAGTATCAATGGTATTATTCTTGATTATACTACAAATAAGAAAACTTCAGAAGTGATTGATAGGTATTTCAAATCAATATTTGTTAACGATAGCACTTTATTAGAAAATTTAAATTTGAATAACAATAGTACTTTATTAGATAATTTAAATTTGAATTTTAATATTAATGATGTAACTGAATAATTTTATTATATTATTAATTAAATAAATGGATCAAAATCTTTATTTTTATCAACAACAAAATAATCTGTAATTTTTGTCCTTTTTTTTGGAATCAAAATTTTATATTCTTTTCCTCTAGTTCTCTTTCCATTCTCATTTAAATTTAAACCCTTATCAAGTCTCTTATTCGTATATCTATCAACCATACTTCCTAACAATTTTTTGGCTTCTAACTTTGAACATTTCAATAATACAGCCAAAATCGTCATAATACCTTTTATATAATGAAATTTATTGATCCTATCTTCTTTTGGATCAAACAAATGTACTAATTTCATACGTTTATATACTTTTGTCTCACCATGTATATATAATATATAATAAAAAAAACGTGGTTTTTCGACTTCTATATTAAATATTTCCATATGATTAACAAAATTCTCAACTATAGATTTCTTCTTTTCAGATACTTGTTTCAATATCGTTATACGATTTTTTTTAACTTCTTCTATATCATCTAATTCATGTATTTCCTGCACATCATCTAAATCATCAATTTCTTCTATATCATCTGAATCATATATTTTTTCTGTTTTATATAATTTTTCCTCTGTTTTTGATTCTTCTTTATAATATACAAAATCCATGTCAGATCTTTCCCAATCTTTTTGATCTTGTCTTTTTTTGTTAAAATCGATTCTTTTCAATTCAAAATCAATCGTATGATCAAATTCTTGATTATTCTCTTTTAATCTAACTATTCCATTCTTTACTAAATTATCTATATTTTTTTTCATATTAAGATAATCTTGACCTAAATATCTTACTAAACTTTGAATATCAATTATTTTTTTATCTTTCAAACAATTTAGCAAATTCTTGATCTTTTTATAATTCAAAATTTTTCCTTTCTTCTCATCTTTAAGAACTTCATAAAGAATTTTATAAAGAACAATCTTTTTATTTACAATCTCATAATATCCATTCTTAAAACTTTTATGATCTGTCAATTCAACAAATATCATTTCTCCTTTTTCATCTTCATTATTCCTAGCAACTTGTTCAAAAAACTCTAATTTTAAATCTGATTCTTTAGAAAAAAGATACTTGACAAAATCTTCTACTTCTTTTTTACTTGTTTATTTAGCCCAATCATATTCTTGATCTAATTCATTAAAAAAATTCTGATATTGTTCTATAGTCGTAAAATTCAAACTATACAAATATGTACCATATTTTTTATAATCAAATATACTATAAAATATTTTTTTTTAAATAACATGTGTTATAAGTATAGAATTTCTTCTGACTAAATCAATACCTTTCTTTAACAAATTATTGAATTTTGTCCCGTTTGCTAACAAAGTGTATTCATCAGTTTTCTCAATATATTCTTTAATCATTTCCTCTGTTATTTCTTTCTCATTCAAAACTTCTTTAATATGATTTTTCAAATCTTTCCAATTATCATCATAATATTATTTCAGTTTTTTAAATTCTAACGCAATATACCTTTTCTTTGAAAAATATATAATCGGACACATTGCCTTTTCTGCTTCCATTACTATCAAAGGTGATTCAATCTCTTTAGCCATCCATTCATTTATCTCATGTTGTAATTTTATACTTTCATTATACATCAAAACAACCATTTCTTCTCGGATATCATATATTATCTGCTAATACTTTTCCTCAGATGAATTTCTACCTAGTAATCTATCTTTATATTTCATGATAATTTCGTTTACTATCGAATCTGATAATTCAAAAAAAACCGAATCAGTATCTCCATATTTCAAGATAAATTTCTTTAATTTAATATCTGAAAATTTTCTATCGGTTTTTTTCAATCCATTGATTAATACGTATATCTCATATTCTGAAATCTCTTTTTTCTTTACATATTCAGAAGCCATAGCTATATATTTTCTTGCATATGCAGTAATAGCAGCTGATATATCATAATCACAAATGATCGAATATTGATTTCCAAATTGTCTATAAATAGAATTTACTATCTTTTTCAACATATCTTGTAAAATATGATAATAATTATATAAAGGATCTTTCTCATCGTAACTATCACATTTTTTCTTAGCTTCTTTCCTCTCCTTTACCAATGATTCTGATATCATCGGAATCAATCCTTCTCTTTTCTTGCTGAATCTTACAGTTTTGATATTTCCTTTTTCATCTTGAAATGATATCTCATGACATCCTTCCTCTATCTCATCATCTCTTAATTTAGTAGTGAAACATATATTGTGTTGTCGAATTATACTAGGATATAAAGAATTAAAATCTAAGTCTGCATTTGCTTTATTCGAAAATTCAGTAAGAGAAACTTCAACATTTCCACCTTTGAAAGGCTTTTTTTTATTTTTCCTATCATAATTAAAGGATATATTAAATCCATATTTTTTAGCAAAATATGCGATTAAATTATTGATCATTTTGGTTTTATTCCTATGTGAATATTCATATAAAGTTATAATCGTTAAATCTGAAATCACTCTATATTCTGTAATCTTGTTAATCAACTCGATTGCTTCTTTAGGCGCAATACAATCCCTGATACAATACAACAAAATTATTGTACACATTCTCTTCTTGGTTTCTTCGTCATAATCTCCGTTATAATATTTATGTAATATATCATACATCTCTTCTATAGACATTTCTTTTTTCAGTTCTAATCCAAGCTTTTTCAATATATAATTTAAACTCCATTTCGATAATGTCTGATAATGCTGTCTAAATATGGATAATTGATCATATTCGAAAATACTATCTATCTTTAAATAAAAATACTGTGCTTTCTAACTCACGTTTATAGTAATATATTCTCTTTTATAATTATATTTAATGATATTTTCCAAAGATTTATCCTTATGTGTTGCTTCGTACATGAACTCTTCAAATATACCCAATTCATACAATTTTCGAATTGTGTATTTCCAATTATATCCAAGATTATTCCAACCTCCAGTTTTCTCTAGATGAAAATTATAAATTAATTTTACTTGTATCAGAAAAAAATCTTTTTGATTATCTACATATATCAAATCAGTAACCCAATCTTCTTCTGTGTTTTTACATATATCATTATATTTAACCGGAAATTCTTCGTTTTGTAACAAAACCGCAACAACATAAAATGGTTTCGTCTCTCTTCCTCTAAAAAATACAAATACACCCATAAAAACTCTATCTTGTTTGTAACCTGTAGAAACTCTTCCTAATTTATTCTTTTTCATGTTCTCGATATCTACAGTCTCAAAATC